GTGTTTCTTAGCACTGGACAGTCTTTTTCTGGTAGATGGTGTTTGTTTTTTCTAGTTTCAGACTACTTGATTGTTTGTCAAATATTTCTGGTTGTGGTGTGAGGTGCAGCTGAGCAGTAAAGTGATTCCTACTTCAAGGATTATTTTTTATGTACTTTGAACTTTAGTTTTTAATTTAAACAGCATCTTTACAAAATAAGGTATAAAGTCACGGTCAACTTACATAAAGAGGCTCTTCTACAGCTTTCCGTGTATTTTAACATAAGTGAACTAACATGACTACAAAATGTAATGTAGACGAGCCCAAAAGGTTAGTTGGGTTGAATTGGAAGTATATGGTAATGAACCATTATACTTTTTACATTTAATTTTTCCTTTCACAGTGAGAAAGTCAACAAAGGGATTGGCATTGAAAATATCCATTATTTAAATGATGGCCTCTGGCATATGAAGACATATAAGTGAAGCAAAAGAAACTGTGTGACCCCAAAGGAATGCACTTAGAGTAAATGGACTGCTTTGTAATTCCTTTTGTTTTTAATGTGACTGAATGTACAAATTTATTTTGTTCAGTGGCTACGCTAAATAAATCAAGTGAATGCTAAAGTCCTGTTAGCGGCAATAGTTTTCTAGACTTTATTACAGTTCTTAAGCTTTTATCCTAAACCCATGTTGTCAGAATGCTTGAAGATTATATCTGATGAAAAGGTCATATGTGAACAGTGAATAGAACACTTCCTGCTAGGAAGAGAGAAAGCTAACAGGTATAAAATTTTGTGCTCTCTCCTAGCACAGTAATTTAAATTGGATTTAGGATATATTTAATGCTTTTGTATATAAAATTTCTAAAATGTGTTAATGCATTTACTTTTGATAACAGGCAGTCTAGAAGGATGAAAAGTTAGAAACTGTAACAACACACAAACTGGATGTTTCTATGTTCCATATACTTTGTGTCAAATTCTAATTTAACTTATTGTCCAACAGTAATGGTTTGAATGTTTTACTCAGCTGAGTGGCCATGTTTTAAGATGCAATTAGTTTTATGGACTATAAACCAAACACTGGATTGTGAGACACGTGACATCACCAGGATACACAGGATATGCTATTTAAATGATCATTTACCACACAATATTGGAGATCAGTTTTTCCCTGCATTGAAAATCTATAGTAACTGGGGAAACTTTAAATGGCTACAGTGGTAAGGGCTAACAGATCCTGTAACCAGAAGCTAGTATTTCTGGGCCAAATTTTAAAAGGAGTATCAACTAGGCCTCCATTTGTGCACCCTATCACCTGCACATGTGCTGTTACTACTAATAAATGGGGACTGCATGCACAGACTCATCCTCTGTATTTAAGTGATTGTGCATGCAGATAGAATGTTGTCATGTGGAAACATCTGAGTTCTCTACTACTCATGGAATGACCAGAGTAATAACTCTACATGACTCATCGTTGGAAGGATTTATTAATATTGTAAATCTTCTTATTTGTATTTGCAGTTTTTAATTTTGTATCAAATGGCTTCTGTCTCATTCTATGTGTGTGTTTTGTTTCAACATTTTTGGATCCTCTAATTCAAGAACTATTGACCTAGAAAAATACTCTTCCCTTATCCTAAAGTTTTATTACAAATATGGGATATGAAATATATTTTACCTAACAATAGGTAGTGCTAGCTTGAAGATTTCTCCTCTTCATCTAACACGAAGTTAAAAGGCGTCACTTTTGAAAATGACAGAATTCTAATGCTCCAGCTACTTATTGTATTAACTAAGGAATGAAAACTAAAGTAACCAGTTTGATGGGTACTACCCTAACATTGTTGCACAAAGAAAGCTATACAAATATAAGTGCTCACACTTTATTCTAAAACAGTTACATGTCAGTCTTTAAACTTGGTAATAAAACTTCTCTGAACTCACCATTAACCGTATGTGGGATTACATTACATGCCTTAATTTGTACTAGTCAAGTAAATTCAGAATTTTTTCCTTACTTTACAAAGCATCTGACACAATATGGTAAAGTAGGCCTGTTCTGGGAGGGGTTGCATAGGAAATTTATTCTACTTTCCCTTTGACTCCCTTGTGGATGTTAAATGACGAAATACTGTCAACTAAACTTCCCTTGGGTAACAAGGGAAGCTGATAACCTAAGAAATGGAAGTGAATTGGTTACAGATCACAGAATGAGGGATGGAGTAGCTTACCTCTAACAACTTCTGGCTATGATTTGCATAGTTTTAAAGTTGCTTTCAAGAAAAGCAAATAGCTCTAACATTACCTGCCCTGCCACTATTTGGAAAGGAATAGTAACATCAGGGCAGGTCCCTCTATGAACACACTCACTTGCTGCTGTAAGTATAGATGGGTACATTTACATTGATTTAAGAATGTCCAGTCACAGAGCAAGTTAATTAAATCTGTTTAAAATTACATCTTTAGTTGAACTGCTGCAACTTTGGGCGTAGGCCAGGCCTCAAACAATGGTGCAGTTTTAGCCTATCAGCATCACCAAAGAAAGGGTGAAGGAAATACCTATTGAATCTCCCCCTGCCAAAAAGACTGTTGGAAACTGAATAACCTGCTAAAATTGCTTATTCCCTTCTGCTGGGGCAGGAGTGCAGTAAAATATAATAGCCCTTTCCACAAAAAAAATGTTGGAAATGTGTAGGTAGACAGAGGATCTATAATAGAACAGTCTAGTACCAACATTACAACTACAGCCCCTCCTTCTACGTCTTTTGGAATTAAGGGTGGGGCAGAAGAATTCTACACGGAAATACTGGTATTTACTGTGGTACTGTGATCGTGGGAGACTGAGGCTGGTGACTTGTAGAGACTGTAATGATTTAAAATGTAGTTATTCTCTAAATAGAGTGTAATTCCACATTTATTGTTTCACTGGCTTCTAGCTCAGCTCTGCTACATTTCCAAACTAGCTTTTTCTAATATCCAGGATTGTAAAGCTGTGCTCTCACTGGTTCTCACATCAGCCATAAAAGATTCTCTAATTAGAATTTAGTTAATTTTGTGTATAGATTTAAATACACTCTAGCTCCCTTTCCTATAACATGTGACACCACATTCCTTACAGGAGTGAAAATTTGTCACTATGTGAACTGTGAATTACACAGCAGGAGATCTGCGTAAGGAGATGCCTATTTTTAGTCTCTTTCCTGACCATAGGTGCAGTTCAAAAGAATCTTGGGAAGATTATTTTATGAATATGGAGTTTAGAAAATACACAAGCACTTTCTGACTTACTGGAATGGGTTAGTTAAAAATAAATTTTAATATCTTACAACTACTTGTACTTGAGTATTAACACATCCAACTATTTTGAGAATCTGCTGTGCATACAGTTACATGAAACAGCCAATCCTTAACTTACATAGCAGATCTCTGGATGCAAAGTACACCTCTACCCCTATATAACGCTGTCTTCAGGAGCCAAAAAATCTTACCGCATTATAGGTAAAACCGCATTATATCGAACTTGCTTTGATCCGCCGGAGTGCGCAGCCCCACCCCCCCAGAGCACTGCTTTACCGCGTTATATCCGAATTTGTGTTATATCGGGGTAGAGGTGTACGATATAAGTGTGAGCCAGGTATTACTAAAAAAGGACACCTCACTTGATGAGGTGAATGAAATCAGCCAACAACTGCACCAGTTTGTTTTAAATATATATATTTCAAATGTTTAACTTCCACAAGTTTTGGTTGGTTCTTCTATAAGAGACTTTAACATAAATCCACATTTGATAAAACTACCTTTGGTTAAAGTTTCCTCTGACACAGCTTAACAGGCTTTAACGTCACAGTAACAATTTTTGAAAAAATAAATGAGTTAAAGGGATACTCTTCTAACTTCAGAAATGGTAAAGAATGAAAAAAAACCTTTCGTCTTAATTTTTAACTGGTCATTCCAAATTACAAACCTTCTCCCTACTTGTTTGTACTACACTGAAGCTGAGTGAGTATCTACCTTTCTGTGACACTTGCAATTGGCTAACTAATACTAGTTTGTTATAAAAGTGAAATTTTAATACATTTTTCCACAATTGGGGTTGATATTTTCTCTAAAAACACACCCACCCTCCCTTGGCTAACCGAGTTATTTCCATGGAAGCAGTGATATATGTAGACACTTAACTAGCCATCTTGAGTATGGGACTTAAGTATATAAAACCAGTGTACGTAATATAGAACGGAAGTGAACAGTAGTGTAATGTCTACTATGGCATGGAAAGAAGGAAAAGTTCCTAATTTGGATTTATAGCAAACAAGAATATTTTTGTTTCAGATGCAGCATTTCAATATTGTCACCTTCAGTGTTTTGGGTGAGAATACATTAAAGGTACATTGCCATCTTGATTTTTTGATATTGCTAGAAAATTCTGTTTAATAGAGCATTTCTTGAGTTACCAGAACAAATTTGTTTTACATGAAGATTCCCCTCCCCCACTGATGGTTAGAAGGATCCTTTAGATGGGCCCCAACAGCAATACCAAACATGCTTGGTCACATCCTCTGGCTTGATCCCTCTGTCTCCTGCACCCATCTGTATGTTGCCTCTTAATTTCAGCTTCACTGGTGTTTTTGCAGAAGGTAGTGAAGAGAGTGGATATGCTCTCCTCCCTGAGCTGTGCAGAGTGCTAGCATGTGTACAAAGTAAAACAGGAAATGCATGTTTTTTTTCTTATAGAAGTTTGACTAAACAGCACTATCACTAGGCACAGCAGCCTTCAGCTGGTTATGAAGTTGATTAGGTTTCTTCATATTAATACTGCTACATTTTTCTGAAGTGTAAAAATTCAGGCCACTGACATTTCTATTCTAGACTACAACAAACTGAAAAAAAAATTGCATTAGTGTAAAGAAAACTGCTTAAAGTTGTACTTTAATACTAAAATCTGTATTTTCAGTTTTATTTGTACATCTTAGAAAGATATAAAGATTTTCAAGAAGTGCATGGAAGAGTTCAAAATCAAAAAATCTTGCAAAAATATATTTAAATTACAATAGATTAAGATTCATTTGTTTTCACTTATAAATATTTAGCCATACAAACATCCCCTATAAATTCATTTCCTTTATCACACAAAGATTTTAGCATTACCATTAACATTTTTCATTCCAACACAGTCAAGAGCCAGAAACATTTTTGTATAAAAGTTTTAGAAAAAAGATTCCCCCTTTTAAAACTAAAATGACCAAACCCTGATGTGCAAAAAATACACAGATACCATCAAATACAAAAATTGCACCAGCTTGTATACATGCAAGTCACATTATGCATTAACAGCTGACTGCATGTTCTACACAATACATATGCTTTCTTTGAACAGATATCAGTCATTGTCTGAACCTGCGGGAGGTAAGAAAACCAGTGCATCTTTGAAATTGTGCCCATATGCTCTGAGCCTATAAACACCATACATCATTACATGCATGTGGTTAGGAGCCAATCCATTGAAAGTGATGGCCATGTCAGAACAGCATCCCTCTACTACTTGTTGAGGGTGATTAGCCATTGCTTCTTTAATAAGAGAACCAACTGATTTGGTGTTAAAGACATCTTTTCCTTCAGAATCTTCTGCATTTTCAGCAAATACTCCAGTATATTTCAGGCAGACTGCTAGTTGTTTATCCTCAGAGAGTTTCCAAATCAAGCCTCCCTGTTCTGGACACTTATCAGGGTCTTCAAAAATTTTAGAGAGTCTTTTTAGGGACTCTATACTTAAGACAATTCCTCCATCATCATCTACATACTCAAGCTCTCCTGATTTTACAGTATGACCTATATAAAAAGGCTGTGATGCATCTTTTTTCAGCAAGAAATATTTGAGATTTTCTATAACAGCAAATGTCGTTGGATGTGCTAGAAAGAACCAGTTGTACTCATCTTTATAGCGTTCATATGCTAATTTATAAGCGTTTCTCACCATCATCCACACGTCATTTGTGTTGAGAACAACAGAATCAAACACCTTAACGCTTTCAGAACTGTAGAATTCGGCCTTGTCACAGTGTTTGCTCCATGTTTCTTTCACAGCAGCCCAATTGCCAAGATCTTTAGGTTTTACAAGGATGATACAATAAACACGGATACTATGGCTGAGCTCCATGCGCTCACCTTCTGACAGATTTGAGACATCTTCTTTGTTAGGTGCTTGAATATGATGATGCTCATGGTGTTGTGCTTTAGTCCCGTGGCCCATCTTAATATGTCCTATGAGTGTAACAAATACACAGAAGAGTCCTCCTAACACCATGCCTTTCACAAAAGAACTGCTTTCGGAAATCATTTTTTCCTAGAAAGAAAAGACACCTTTTGAGAGGTTATGGAAATTATTTGTAAAGATTCAATTTTATCTCAACATAAACTTTTTCTGTTCATACTTTAAAAGAAGTTCCTAAATTTTAAATTGCAATTATAGTTCCTCTAACTTTCTACTGTAGTTTAAATTGTTAAGCCACTGTACATTGTCATGAGAGGAGCAGCAAGAATTAATTATAATGCTCTTTTACCAATCCTAAATATTATGGTAAATTTACAGGATAGAGATGTTTCCAAATTAACTCCGTAAAAGTATTCCCTCAAGGTCTTTATCCTCAGAAATCTGTGTTCAATCTCTTGTCTGTGCACTGGATGGAACAGCTTACCTTTACTCTAACAAAGGAAGTGGAAACTGGCAGTTGGTATCAGAATGAGTACTAGCTGCCTATGCCCTGTGGGCTCAAAATTTTGGAGAGCTAAGGAAGCTCCAGCCTGTCTCATGCCAGGGAGCTGAGAACCCTAGCATAGAAATCCAGGTATCTTCAGAGAAGCAGAGTTGCTGATACAGGCAGCTGTCAGCTGAAACATCAGTCAAAAGAACTTGGTTTTCACTGTAATTCAATCCAAAACTTGAATCAAGTAAAGCTATTTTGAAGGACAAAGCCTTGCCATTACCAAGTATGATTCACAATCCTGCTTCTCTCATTCCACACAGACTGACTGCGGTTCCTTGGCTGGGGAATTTATCACTGGAGATCAGGCTAAACTTGAGTCTTGCCACATGTATACAAATTTTATTAAGATGATGTTAAAAAAAAATAGTGAACAGAGTTTGAGCATAGAAGTTTCTGGTTATCAGGGAATAACATACAGTTTATAGAGGGTGCAAAGTTTGGTTAAGATAAGGTGGCATGAGAAATACATAATCTGCAATATCCCCGATTGGGGGTAAAAGGTTGATGGGTCAAAGTACAGACATTGAGATATGAGGGTATGAAGTTCATAAAGTGGCTATGTTCGGGTGTGGATTATAATGAGTGGATATGATGATGAGGATGGATTGACCCTCATTTGGTGAGATTGGTTTATGGTTCCAGTTCACATGATCCAACGGAGAAGGTCACTTGGTCCCTAGTAAGATGCACGCTCTTTCTGTGGGCTCTCTCCTTAACAACTAAACTGCAGAATGATCTCAACTGTCTGTCCTGGGAAACAATCACCTGGATTATGTCCTAATCAGATTTATTAACTGAGCTGTGGGAAAGAATTTGAGAGTTTAGTGCCTTTATTCTGAAGACCAGCATAGTGGTCCTTGTAACAGGGCAGTAGGTGCACAGATACATTTCAGTTAATCTGTTACAGCCTTTGAGCCTTTAAAACTGGGAGTTATAGGTGCAAGTGTCAAGAGTAGGAGGAAGCATATAACCTGCAGAAAGGTAAATACAGTATAAGGTTTCCTTCCTCTTAGGTAAGGGCAGCAGAGTAGAGATTCCCAAGGTCAGGGGAGTGCTAGTGTGGGTCTCCCCATGGTAGGCAGGAAAGCGCTACCTAGCATAGAAGCATAAATCATTCCCCTTCCCAGGCGTGGGCGGCAGGAACAGTCACTACTATTTAGTGTTGTACCCTATTTTGAGTCTTCAATTTATTAACAATCTTGTCCTAGGAAAGGGCACAGGAACAAAGATGATCCTTTGGGCTTTACTTGGCCTGTCCGAGCTGGACCATGACACTTTCTTCTAATGACAGTAACTGCTGAGACAGGTGTGACTGCTGCTGCTGCACAAACATGGTACGTGGAAGGAATACAGACTCAAGCAGAAGGTAAGTGGTGCAGGGGCAGATCCCTAGGAGATGAGGGATGTTTACTCTTCTCAGCACCTGTTATAGGATGACCAGATATCAAGTAAGAAAAACCAAGACAAAGGATGGGGGTGGGGGAAAACAGGTGTCTATATAAAACAAAGCCCTGAATATCGGGACTGTTCCTATAAAATCGGGACATCTGGTTACCCTAATCTGTTCTCCTGAGGAGGGGGCAATGGGAAAGGAAGGGGGAATCATCCTTGTTTTGGGAAAGGAGGGTGGGGCCCACCAGAGCAGCCAACTGGAAGGGGCGGTTACTCCCCTCACCCCGAGGGGGGGAGGACGACTGGAGGACCCCGTAGGAACGGGAGATGGGGATTATGCCCCTCTCCCGGGGGTGTGTGTGTGTGTGCCAGAGGGCCCCGTGGGGGCGGGGGGGGGGGGGTTATGCCCCTCTCCGGGGGGGGGGGGCGCCACGGGAGCCCGCCGGAACGGGGGGTATTTTCTCTTTCAACGTTGACACTTCCTTGGCGCGTGCGCAGGAGTCTCCCCCGTGTCCGTGCTGGGAGATTCCCCCTCCCCGTCACTCACCGGTGCCGCCGAGCGGACGGGACCACTGGCCCAGCGAGGACGAGCTCCAGCTCCAGCTCCACCCCGAGACGAAGGCGGAACTACTACTTCCTCTTCCGGCCAGCCTGGCGCACGAGCCGCACGCAGCCCTTCTAGCCGCGGCCACTCGCTGGTTCGCAGGGACGGGGGAATTCTAGTGCGGAGAGGCCGGAGCTGACGTTGGCGCCACAGCGGCTAGGCGAGGGGGCGGGGACACACATCCCTCTCTTCCCGCCCAGCGACCGTCCCTCCCGCCCCAGTACAGCCCTTCCCCCATCGTTCCCCCCAGCAGCACGATCCTTCCCCCCCACCCCCGGCACAGCCCTTCCCCCCCCC